TAAACCATGGCTTGGTGATGCCTACAGGCAAACAAAAGTTATGCAATCTAACTATAAATGGCTGGAGCAGATGAGCATTCTCTGATATCTATAAGCAACTTAATGAGCTCCTTCTTGTTCCCTTTTAATCTATTATGTATACCACTGAAAATGTTTTGTTATACTTGTGTGATAAGTGCAAAAAATACCTGTAGTTTCTTCCAAAAATCTTGTGAGCTGACCGTTATCTGTTTCCATTTTTCCCACCTATGTCTTTGGACTACAGAACCCCTCCCCCTATGTTATGGGGAAGATGGTGTTCTGAAGCCCCAGGACACATATTGTTAATAATAATAGTAATAATAATAATAATAATAATAACAACAGAGAAAAGCCTAAAAAACACTACATTTCTGTTATGTACAGTATATATACACTGATAGACTGGAATTTAGGAAGTTTATTTATCGCATTAACTTACTAGTAGACATGAGATGACAGTTACCCAGTCTGACTACCTAAAGTATCAATTTACAGGTAGAAGAAGAGGCAGCCATACATTCTTAGCATACAGATCTGAGAGAAAATAATAATCCTTATTGCATTGATAACTATGAGATAAAGAAAATTATACTCATAACCATGTGAGCATAGGATCAGGTGGTGTTTATTTGTGGTGTGTGCCATGAATGTTTTCAATTTCCAAGGAAGAAAAGGGAAAATGTACCCTTGCTGGCTTTAGAAATGTACACTGTAACAATCTTAGAAAATACATGAAGCCAATACATTTTATTAAAAATATTTCACTCTTGCTATTGGTAATTTTTATTTATTTTTTAAATAAATACATAGATAAATAAATACTCTAGCAGTGCCTGTGGGTTTGTATGAAGCAATATTTGCTCATAAAGTATGCTTACCTTATCCTACTTATGAAGTGAAGTAGAATGAAAATGCCCTAAAGATAACTGCATGGCTCTACATGATGTCTAGCCTGGGGTTTCACAATCTGCTTTACTGTTTAAAATTTCAGTAAATATCACTGTATTTTCCCTAAAGCTAGACAGATCTCATATTCCCTCACAACTGAGGGTAGCCTGGGGGACATATGTAATGCATCAGGTGTGAGAAGGTGGTAAAGCAGAAACCATTGGGACATACATCAACGTTTAAAGTTTCTAACAGATGGAAATGTGCGGAAATAAACTTTACGTGTTTATTTCTGAACCAAGTTAGGAAATACATAAATTCAATAAAGCAAGCTTGGCATATGCTTTAAATACACATTTTGGGTTTAAAGAAAGTTAAATGAAATTATTACATTTGAATCTAAAGGACTGAGGGTGTGAATATTTCACTAGTAATATTTCATATTGCTATATAAACATGCTCCTATTCCATTATTTATTACTCTCAGTTATTGACGTTTATAAAGGGCAAAATGTGATCTTGTGTGATTGTGTTAATAAGTGTGCTTTAAAATAAAAGCATACAGATAAACTCAAGCTATTTGCTGTTTGGGAAAACAGCTAACCAGTTAGATAGGGAAAAACAACAGTGAGCGCTAGTCCTGAAAGCGGCTAAGCACTCTAAGCAACCAATATGTACTTAAAATGGAATAACATAAAAATAGTGCAGTGCTAAGAGTAGTGATAATAAAACAGATATGAGTCCACTTAAAGTCTTGGTTATAAGAACGTGTCCAGTGACAAGTGAGGGTTCAAAATTGGTGATCCGTGTGGAAACGGCTAGAAAACGCACTCACCAGAATGTGATGAACATATGTGCATGTGTGGATGAACCCTAACAGGAAGTCAGATCAAAGCGAAAAAAAATTTTGGAGGAGGCTGAGAGCAATAGGCCTCACTGCACACACAGCCTCAGGCCGAGAGCTGCTGCGACTGGATGGTGCACTGAATGTTTTTCAGAACAAGCTTTCGGGGCAACTTTCACACTGAACCGAAGCAGTTTTGCAGCATTTATACCGCATTTGTGGTGCAGGGCATGTGACTTCAAAACCACACCAAAAATGCAATGCAGGAGCTTTTGCTTGCAGAACCCTGATCTTGGAAACCTACACCTAACTGGGAAGAGGAGGATCTGTTGCTGCATCCACAGAGGAGGGATCCATTTTTCCTGCAACCGGACCAGCTTTATTCCTTTTGGATTGAGGATCCATGAGCTCTAGATGCACACTGCGTACATGTGTCTTTTTTCTGGTGAGTGCGTTTTCTAGCCGTTTCCACACGGATCACCAATTTTGAACCCTCACTTGTCACTGGACACGTTCTTATAACCAAGACTTTAAGTGGACTCATATCTGTTTTATTATCACTACTCTTAGCGCTGCACTGTTTTTATGTTAGCTAACCAGTTACCTTTCACAGCTATAGCAACCAATTACCAATAATTCATGTCCTGGCTACTGAATTGTGGTTCAGGTGGCTTAAACCCTTCCTGCCTCCTGGACCTTTAAGAAGTTCTAAATGTTGGGAGGTGGAGGCGGACATTCTGATCATGTGAACGCTGTGATTCGCAGTCAAGCGGTCACATGATCAGAAAGCTCCTGATTGCAAGTATGCATTGAGAGCTTTCCAGTCCTCACCAGTAAGAGCATGCAGGGTGCGCACTTTCAGCACAGAAAACTGTTGACATTGGGCCACATATGTGCAGTCTCTCAGCGTTAAAGCCCATTGCATATATGCATACCTTCTGGCAGAAAGAGGTTAAAAAAGCCAATAGGATGGTTTTGCTATATTCTAGCTCCTTCCCTATAAAAGTCAGGGTTCCCAGCAATCTTTTGTCAGTGTGTGTTAGAGAGATAGGTGTTGATATAGTGCTGCCAAAAAGTGCTACTATCAAGTGGTGCTATACAAGTGTGTGTTAGAGAGATATGCAGTAAGTTATAGACATAGATAGAGAATACTATATAATTTGTGCCACATAGCAGTGTATTGCTGTGTTGTGGGCAGAGATTCTGGCAGACACTTCTGTGATGGCAAGGAATTTTCTTAGATGAGCACCCTTGCTCCCTCTTATGGGGTACAGAAAATGTCTTCTTGTTTCATACTATGAAAGTGGCACTGGTAGGTAATATTCTATGGCAGGGACTCTTTTATTTTATTTATATAATTGGAAAGAGGTTTATTACTGAAAGATGGAGTAACCATGATGGTGGAGGGTTGTAATGGAATATAGATATTATCCTGCTGGATTTGGTAGATATGGGGAAGAAGCAATTACTTAGAGACCTCCCTAATTTTTGTGGGGGTTTTTCTAGAATCAGTTGGTTTTTCAAATTTTGTACATTGTAAAAGCTTTTTAAGTACCATATTTTCCGGCGTATAAGGCGACTGGGTGTATAAGACGAACCTCTAATTTTCCAGTTAAAACATAGGTTTTGGGCTATACTCGCCGTATAAGACTACCCGCCTTCCGAGGCAACACTATTTAAAAACATCAGATTTTTTAATTGAAATGGTTATGACTTACCGGTACTTAAAATCCTTCAAAATCCTCATGTTCATCCTCTGACATCATAAGTTCATGAATGACATCTTGTGATACATTTGTAAGACAGTCATCATATGGATCAAATTCCAAATCAGATGGTTACCTCTGGATTTGCGGTAATAGGGTAGCTTCGGCTACATACAGTATACCGTATATATACAGCCCTCTGGATGTGCGGTAATACGGTAGCTTCGGCTACATACAGTATATATACAGCCCGCTGGATGTGTAGTAATGTACATACAGTATATATACAGCCCGCTGGATGTGTAGTAATGTACATACAGTATACCGCGCTGGGCCAAGCTGGCTCAAAACAAATGTCCCTATGACAGATTAATCTGTCAGCCCGCTGGATGTGCGGTATATACAGTATACTGAGCCAAGCTGTTTCAAAATGTACCGGTACGTCCCTACAGTAATCAGCCCACTGGATGCGTGTATGTATGGTAGCTGCAGCTACATACAGTATACGCTGGGCCAATCACGGCGAGCGATGTATTCTACTAATGAATACAAAGCCTGCTCAGATTGGCTGTGGTTGTGACATCATCAGCCCACCTCTCTGACTCAGCCAAAAGTGTACAGATTGCTTCCAAAATGTAATTTCCTGCTTATGTGATTGGCTCACTGATTTTCCCAGAAGTCTATATTATAAATAGAGCCGAAACTGTTGGTAAATTTATTAGGGCAATGTTTTATTTTTTCTATGTGTTTCTATGTGTTTTCTAAAACCCAGTATGGGTGTTTTTTTAACCGCCTCCTGCCCGCCATATAGTACAATGATGAGCGCAAGGTGGTTCTCTCGTTCTGGGAGGACATCATATGACGTCCTCCCATTCTAACCGCGCATGCGCCGCTCCGGGGGGGTGCAGCGTGGTGATCGGCGGTGCTCTGTGTCCCTCGGACACAGTGGATCACCGATCAACGGAAAGAGCCAAAGATGTCGGCTCGGTCATGTGATCAGCTGTGTCCAATCACAACTGATCGCATGTAAATAGGGAAATGCCAGTTATCGGCATTTCTCTCCTCACGAGCTGTCACGCTGACAGAGGAGAGGAGAGCCGGTAATCGGCTTTCCGCGAAGGGGACATGTACATTGATCATCAGGGCACTGATGATCAGTGTGCCCTGATGATCTGTGTAGCCCCAGCAGTGCCACTTGTCAGTGTCCATCAGTGCCAGCTGTCAGTGCTCATCCATGCCCCCTGCCAGTGCCCATCAGTGCCACATCAATGCCACATTTCAGTGCCTACCAGTGCACATATCAGTGCCCATCTGAGCTGCCTTTCAGTGTCACCCATCAGTGCCAGTCAGTGCCACCTATCAATGCCAGTCAGTGCCACCTATCAGTGCTACCAATCAGTGCCACTTATCAGTGCCAGTCAGTGCTGCCTATCAGTGCCAGTCAGTGCCGCCTATCAGTGTGCATAAGTGCTGCCTATCAGTGCCCATCAGTGCTGCCTAACAGTGCCAGTCAGTGCCACCTAACAGTGCCAGTCAGTGCTGCCTATCAGTGCCAGTCAGTGCCGCCTATCAGTGCCACCTATCAGTGCCATATATGAGTGGTGCCTTTCAGTGCCCATCAGTGATGCCTGTCAATACCCATCAGTGCCGCCTACCAGTGCCTCATCATCAGTGCCCATCAGTGCCACCTATCAGTGTCCATCACTGCAGCCTCATTAGCGCACATCAGTGAAGGAGAAAAATCACTTATTTACAAAATTGTGTAAAAAAACAAAAACTAAGAAAAACATTTTTTTTTAAAAAATTTTTAAGTTGTTTTTGGTTTGTTTAAGAAAAAATAAAAAACCCAGAGGTGATTAAATACCACCAAAATAAAGCTCTATCTGTCACAAAAAATGATAAAAATGTCATATGGGTACAGTGTTGCATGACCGTGCAATTGTCATTCAAAGTGCAAAAGTGCTGAAAGCTGGAAATTGGCCTGGACAGGAAGGGGGTATAAGTGCCCTGTAGGCTAGTGGTTAAATGTGTTTCACTGTGGTGAACTACATAAGCCATTGGTCAAGATCTAAAAATAATATTTGTGCTATACATAATCAGTTCCTAAAGTGTAAGAACAGACAACATATTTGTTCTTCTGTTTTTAATTGAGTGAGAAAATATTTAGACCCCTGTGGATTTTCACATCTTTCTTAGGCTTGGTTATTGAGAATTTCCCTCAAAGTAACAAGTTTACCATACAGGAACTCTTGCTAAATTATCTCACTTCCTGCCTAGTGAAACCATTGACCTCATAGCAGTAAATAAGGATTAAATCTCTGTAAAGGCGTTCCAGATAGCAGGAACAACCACACAGTTATTCAAGCCCTTCCTTTTTTTATCCAAAACTCCAAAAGAAAGCTTTGTCTGCACACACACTTTAAATTTTGACTCCTGTTCTGAAATTATTATCTGCACAGTAAGGGTCCTGCACTCTTGCTTAAGGGGATAGTCACCCATAGGGGTTGATTTACTAAAGGCACAAAGGCTATTACCTTTCCAAGGGAAGTTACATTTTGAAAGGAAATTTGCCCCAGAGCTTAGTGAATGAGGTGAAGCTCTGCTGAGGTCCAACATCCACTGATGTGCAAAAAAAAAATATGTTTTTTTTTTTTTTTTTCCTTGCACATGATGTGTTATTTGTTGTAAAGTAAAACTTTACTGATTTCTTTAAACTCTAACACAAATTTCCTTGCAAAGTGCAACTTTCCTTGCAAAGTGAACAGCCTATTTCCCTTTAGTAAATCAGCCTCAGTATCATTTAACAACATCTACCTGCCCTATTTGAGCCTATCTCGTTTCTTTTAATTGATATCTATTTTTACAATGTTGAGAACAGTCAATTTTGGTAAATATCTTTTCTCAGAACGATCTGATGCATCTGCTATTAATGTGAAAAATCTAATATGGATGTTATATTTGCTGATCACTATCTGGAAATAATTGTTGCCTGTCATATGAATAATATGATTTAAATACTTTGGGTCACTGAGCCCCAGTGACATACCTGTATGTCACTGCAGATTGAGTAGTTATACCAGGATGATGCCTGCAGCTGCAAACTGGATCGACTTTGTTCTGCTCTATGATATGGTAACCTGGAAGCAAAGATCTTACATCATTTCAGATTTACACCGCAGTAAACAGTGCCATTTTTAAAAATTAAAAGCATTTGACCACACCAATCTTGGTGGCAGAGGGCAGAGGAGGGATTTGGGGTCTTATAGAACCCATATCTCTCCATAAAGAGTACCTTTTACATGCCTATTGTTGTCACAAGGGTCGTTTACATTCCTTGTGACAGCAATAAAAGTGATTCAAAAAATTAAAACGACAGTGTAAAAATAAAAATAAATAAATTATATTTTTTAAAAAATGAAATTGCCCCTTGCTTGTGCGCAAAGGTGAATGCATGCATTGGTTCCCCATACACTCACAAAGCGATCGTTCCACACATGTGAGATATCACCGTTAATGTCAGATCATGGGTAGCAATTCTAGCACTGGACCTCCTCTGTAAATTTAAAGTGGTAACCTGTAAAGGCTTTTAAAGTGTTGCCTATAGATAGTAAACTTTGAGTCATTTGTCGCTACTGCACGGGCATGCAAAATTTTAAAGCATAGCATCATCTTTTATATTTTACCAAAAAATTGGGTTATGTACTGTCTTGTGAAAAAACCGCTGCACAAATGCCATGTGACATAATACAATTGCAAAACTTACCAATTTATTCTCTAGGGCCTCTGATTAAAAAAAAAATGTATAATGTCTGAGGGTTTTAAGAAAATTTCTAGCAAAAAATACTGTTTGTAACATGAAAATAAAAAGTTCCAGAAAATGCTTGGTCTTCAATATGGGAGCTATATTTGCTGATGACTATCTGGAAATAATTGTTGCCTGTCATATGAATAATATGGTTTACCCGCTTCTCGTCCGACCCATGGACATAAACGGCTGGACTGGAGTGGAGTAGTGCCGAAGTGGGTTGCCATTTATAAATGGCCCCCACATTCACAGCCTGTGCGTGCTCCCTGGGAATACACGGCACCGATCGCTGTACAGGACATCTGTGTGTGGTCCCAATTGATGTGATCCCTGATTGGCCAATCAGTGATCACATGAATAGTAGTAAAAAAGATGTCACTTTCTGACATCATTGCTTACTACTTGCAAAACCTGTGAATGATCACAGAGGTCACATGGTACAAGGCTATTCACAACAGCCTTGTACCATGTGACAAGCTGTGACCAATCACAGCTCTCACAGTATTTCTCAATGGCTGCAAGAATGCAGCCAGAGAGAAGGTGAAATGGTTGCTTTTACAGCCTTTATGGGTTTAAAAGCAATCAGTGTAAAAAAAAAAGAAACACTGTACTGCTAGGGTGATGGTATGTAAAAAAAACAAAAAACAAAAAAAATGTAAAAAAAATTAAGAAAAATTATAATTTTTGGTTATAAACTAATTTGGGTTATTTTTTATTTTTTTACTAAAATGTAGCTGAATTTTAGCCAAGATTTGTGAAGAAAGATCATTTATTTGCAAAATTGTATAAGAAAAACACTTATATATATTATATATATAATATTGGCTACATCTTTTTCTGTAAATATTTTTATTGCACCATTTTGACCTTTTTAGTAATAAATCCTATTATCTGAAAAGTGTTGAACTGTTTCTAAAGCTCTTTAATGCAAACTAAGAATCCCTGTCTTTGAAAAGCGCTACTGTGTGTTTTTAAAAACTTCTGCATATATCTGCCTGCGGTGACAGTGGTATACAGACGATTATTCAAACATCATAGTATTACTGCTAAGATTGGCGAGTTTCCTCCTTCTCCGTACAAAAAGGCGGTGGGGGCATTGTGAAGGGTTAATTGCGTAATTAACCTGCCCCAGTAACAATCGCTCTCAGGCTGCGGTACATAGATTGTGGTCCATTAAGGAAAATCTTTGTGCAGGGTGCAGCTGAGTGTGGTATTGTTACGCACGTGACAGTGCGGTTTGGATTGGCTAGTCCTTCGGTCACGAGTTGGTGAGAAGGGCTGGGGGTCTGACTCCGCGTCCATCACAAATATATTTAAACCTTTCTCAAATGGAACTATATGAGTTATGATTAACTTGCACTTCAAAGAAAAGGATTTCACTTTGTATTCTCATGCCCATATATTATATTCAAAAATTTACTTTTTCTTTACTGACAAATGGATATTACAAAGAGTGAAGGAAATTAAGATCTGTAGTATCAAATGGTCAGACCATGTTCTTATCACATTGGTGTCTATGGATAAATAAAATTGCTGCAACACCTACCTGTGGTGAAATAATACATATATATTGTATAACCCCAGGTACAAAAAAGAAATATCATCCCATTTTATGGAATTCTTTATTATCAATGCATCTAATTCTGATAACGTGTTTAATCTTTGATGTACTTATAAAGCCTATGTTAGGGGTGTCTTCATACAAATTGCAGCCAAGAAAATTAAGTGAATAATTTTAGCATATTATTTCCTTGTTGGCAATTATTGCCTAATTGGAGTCTGCTCATAAGATCACCCCTCTAAACTCTATCACTAAGCAACATCATTCCTGTAGGGAAGCCCACAAGGAAGCAATATTAGTAAATCATGAAAAAATATCTCAGGAGATAAATATAACTTATTATTCACAAGGCAATAAAGCAGGCAAGTTACTTGTTTCACAATTAAGACAAGGCCAAATGAAAACTAAAATAACTAGTATGACCCATCCCTTAGCAAATAAAAATGATATAACCCCCAGGACTTCAGCAATGCCTTGTCTGACTATTATGAAACACTATACAATTTAAATAATGACCCTGGCACCTCACAACTTACATCTGCTTCTATTGTTGAATTTCTTAGCCATGTTAATCTGAATTCAGTAGAAAAAGACATGGTAATTCAATTGAATAGACCTACAGTATATCTGATAAGGAAATTATATAAGTAATAAAGTCATTGCCTCTTAATAAATCTACATGTATAGATAGCTTTTCAGATAAATATTATGAATATTTCTTGGACATATTATCCCCTCAGCTCCTTTTTGTTTTTAATAAAAATGTATCCTCTGGGACTTTTCCTAGTATGATGTTGCAGGAAGTTTTTGTGACCCCTGTGAAAACGTGTAAAGAAACCACTCATCCAAAGAACTTCAGACCAATATTATTACCTAATTCAGATTTGAAAATATACACAAAAATCCAGGTAAATCTTTTATTGGAAATAAACGGATCCCTGATTGGCTTTAAACAAGATAGCAATGTAAAGGGCCAGACAAACATCAATGGCACCAGACAGGTGTTAACATTTTTTGTTTCCAAACTTTTATTAGGTAGAAATTGGTGGTACAAAAAAAGCACAGTTGTACAAATATACAAAATTGGGTATTCCAAAAAGATTACAGGTGAAGGTATATAACAAGGGTAGAAGATAAATACAACTTTACCAGGCTATAATTAGAGAAAGCCAATATGAGTGATACATGAGTGATCCATTTAGTAAAGGATAACAAGGAGCTAGTTAACATTCAATAATTTATAAGAAGAGATTTGAATGTTCAAACCAGGGATCCCCTTTAGTGCTATAAAAAGCCATAGAGTTATATAGAATGTGAAATATTTTTTCCACACGACAAATAGAGTCTATTCTCATCTTTAATTGTGGAATGGAATTGAGGAAGATTTCCAGTGTCTAGCTATAAACCAGTGTACAGAAACACAAATGGTATGGATGAGTCTCATCAGGGGGGAGAGAAAGCCCTGGGATAGGAGTGAAAAGTTATTAAGTGTCT